TGAGAATTCAACAAAAATAAAACTTCTTTCTTGAGAATTCAACAAAATATAACTTAAAAAATATAACAACCCGTCAGCTCCTTCAAATCAAGTAAAAGTCATAGTAAGCAATGTTTATATGCATTAACTCATTTGTATGTTTCTCCATTTGTATTTCAGTTTAGTTCACAAGTCATCATCAATGTCACTGAGGTAGATAATAGAGAATCACAGGTTTTTCATGAGTATTCAACAAAATGAAACTTGTTTCTTGAGAATTCAACAAAAATAAAACTTGTTTCCTGAGAAATCAACAAAAATAAAACTTCTTTCCTGAGAATTCAACAAAAATAAAACTTCTTTCTTGAGAATTCAACAAAATATAACTTAAAAAATATAACAACCCGTCAGCTCCTTCAAATCAAGTAAAAGTCATAGTAAGCAATGTTTATATGCATTAACTCATTTGTATGTTTCTCCATTTGTATTTCAGTTTAGTTCACAAGTCATCATTAAGGTCACTGAGGTCAGGAAGTTTGAAAATCTGTTTGCAAAACATTTCCCTGAACATATTCATCTTTTCTTTGTGCATTTGTTGCATTGAATCAACAATTGTTCCAATTTTCTTATAATTTTTCTCTGATTCTTCATTTATTAATTGTTTTATCTCGTCCATAGAAGATTTAATGTTGCTACTTTTTTTTCTTTGGGGCTTCTTCTTCCTTTGAGGCAGATTCATCTACTGAAGATATTGTACAAGATGGGGTGATATTAGGATCATGTCCCATCATTTCTTCAAGCTCCTCCTGATAAGGATGGGTTTTACGTGCTGCCCCTGTCCTGTTGTTGTCCTTGACATTTTTATATCCCCTCAATATTGATTTGTGCCGGTTAGATACCTGTTCCTCAGTTAAACACAGCTGCATTTTTGTATTGAGTGTATCTCTAATTTCCTGGTACATTCTCTTCTTCGTCATTTTTCCGGCTCTTACTAGCTGGTCTTTCTCTTTGACCTGATCAAGTAGTATCGATGTCGATTGTCTGGACCAAATGAACTTTATAGCAGCAGTGGCTGTTGGGTCCTCTTCTGCAATATGCAAGAAATATACTGTTCGTTATGCACATGTTAGTAATTTAAAATTTATCCAATCATTTCTGATTTTACATAAACATTTCCTTTAGATAAAATAAGTGTATCAATCGCATCTGGGGCCTAAAAAGTCCTACAAACAACACAAATATTTGTAAGGTCAAAGTAGTAATCAGTCTAAATGTGGCTGAATCCATAAACAAATTGTGAGAATATTGAAGGAAAACTAGGAGAGCTAATAAGGAATGAGGACAGACAGACATCCTTTATTTCTTCTTTTACGAAAGATTAAATATCAGTTTTTGTAATAATCAGAACCAAAATCACATACCAAGTGCATCAGGTTGAGGAAAGTCATCTTCAGTGTCTATGTTCTGGTCAGATCCTTTACCTGCAAAAGAAGCATGTTTAATTTACCTTGTATTCACAATTTTCATCCACACAAAGTGCTAGCTAGTTGATCAGCGATGAAAATAAGAGTAAACCCAACTACCGTTACATCTATTACATATTTAATTTTATATTATTAAATATACTTACTTGAGAAATCTGAAGGATTTGCTGCCTTTTTTAGAAGACTTCTTGTAATGATAGATTTGGCAGCATGATCTGGAAAAAAAAACAGTTGAAAATTTAGCAATTAAAATCTAGTATATAGTTTAGGAAATATATCTACTAGGTACTGGTAGGTACACTCTTGATGGAATGGAAAGTTACAGACATCTATATTTCAAATTTGTGATGTTATTTAATATCAAAGATTTAAAATGCAAACACATTGTACATTGTACATTTGTATATGTTAATACATGTATTATAAATACACCTCAGTATAAATACTGAAGCATAAAAAAACACCAGCTTTTTGAAGAAAGGTCTTTAAAGAATTTCCATCTTGGTAATGACAACATACCTGTGTTGGTATTAAGGAGTAGGTCTCCTGTTTCCTTGCTACATGTTGTTTCTTTTGTGACATTTCCCGTTAGTTTGAATACAACTCTGTATTCTCCTGAGCTACAATAAATCAAACCATAAAAAAATATTTTATTGCATTGATGTAATATCAACTCATACCGGACAACAAACTTAAATTTTGTATTCACAAGTATAATTTTGTTCAAATACTTTATTGACGAATATGTACAAAGGTCAAGAATGAGAATACCTCTGACATCTATGTGTTTTATGATTTCGAGGTTGAAGCCACTGTCACTTACTGTATATAGAATATTATCTACTAATTCAGTGTTATCAGTCTACTAACTTTATTTCCTGATGGATTTTAATCAAACTTTTGTGTTTCAGGTTTCGAAAGGTCAAGGTCACTGTTGCTATCAGTGTTTTTGTTACTTTAATGTTACTACATTCTGTTTCTTTATGAATTGGGAAAATATAGCAGTATTTGTTTTGAAATTTGGAATATAATCTTCAGTTTTTGGTCACTTTGGGGGAAAAAGCACCTTTTAGCAAAGGGAAACAGCCTTTTTCGGCAGTAAAACTGAGCAAAAAATCACTGGCTATATAAGGGAGGTCATCAGATAACTAAATTGTCATCACTCTAGCTATAGGTTTTTCGTTTCTTAACATATTTTGATCAAAGTCTATAAAGATTTCAGGTATGAGAACACATTGGACGAGTTCATGTTTTGAAGGTCACTGTGTGTAGCCTTTCATAGAAAGTTTTTATCTATATTTCTCTATTTATCAACTTGAAGTATGATCATATCTGAAAGTGTACATATTTCAGGGTGTCAAGCTCAAATTTTATTGTTACCCTATTTATAGAACATTATATATAAAAAAAACACTGAAATATACTTCATATGGCAGCTGGCATTCATGTCTTACAGACATTTTCCAGTTTTGTATTATCATTTGATTTCTGGGTGTTTACCTTTCTATTTGTGAAAGTTCCAACATCATTGGTCCAGGATCAGCCATCGTATGCTCCTAGTTAGTTAAAAAGGGCAATTAATAAACGGCATGAAAAGCAATGTCAAAAGGTGTTGCTTACTGATTTTGTAATTAAAATTGTTCAGTAAGCTACCAAATCTACAATGTCTATTAAAAGGTAATGAATTATGATGCTTTGCAAACATAGAGGTACAAGGATGCAAATAATAAAAATGTCTTGGTAGATATCAACATTATAACAGCAATGGAATAACAGACATTTTTTTCCGAATCATGTAGATATACCAACACAATGTAAAGTCCACAATTAGTCAATACCTTTTGTAGCGCAGGGGGTGCAAAAAGTTCCTTTTACTTCCCCCGTTACATGCAACTCCAGTTCGTAATCAGCGCAGTCAGCATGGAAACACAACTTGCAACTTGGACAACGCAGGTATATCCTGTAATAATTAAAAATGTGCACTTCATATTAAATATGTGCATGTTTTTCATAATTGCATTCATCCATAATCTTACAATTAATTCCCTACCGATTTGAAACACATCTCTTGTTGTGAAGTTAAGTTGAATTTTACTGACTTAGAAGCTACACTTCAAAATAATTACTGCACCGACGACAAAATACATATTCTATGCTTATATTATTCAAAATATTAATATTGAATACTTACTGTTTACCTATAGTCACCGTCAATAAAAATTTCTGCCTTCTTTGCCCTCTCCTGGGTTTCGAGGGAAACCAACGAATGGTCTGGAGCTGCCAAGTTGCATGTAAAACAACTCCACTTAATTTTTAGTAGAATCTGAATCCATCACTTAAACTGTAAAGAAAAGACAATATATTAGTTAATGCATAGATTTAAGTGACAGCACGGTAAAAACATTATTTTTTTCCGTTGGCATCACTTCAATTTGTTAAAATATCACATAATAAAGCTTTGGAATATATACCGGATCACTTTTATGCTACTGTACAGTAACCAGTTTTACCGTTTTGGCAGTCCGAGATGATTTCATGATTTGTTTTCCATAACTAGGACGTTTCATTTTTAGGAAACTGTATTTTATCTTTTATCAGTGACCGACCTATTCGTGACCAGTTAAAATTCTTGCAAGAATTCCATTTGTTTTAAATATCACCAATAATGTTTTTCAATCAATCCGATCTTACCGCTTAAGCCGCATGTTGGTTTTTCATCTACACCACGTACACTACCTCGGCAGGAAGAGTAAACGGTGTACACCGGGTGCAATGCACCGCGATACTTGATTCCTGTTCGGTGTTACTTTAGTGCAATCGGTGCAATCGGTGTACACCGATCACCTGGATCAAGTCCGCCCAATGTTTGAGACTGTAGCACTCCTGCACCCAAACCGGCTGGATCATGTATCGGAGATGGTGGCAACGTTACATCACTTGATTCATTGTCAGATGAAACATCAGTAAGGAATTGTGACATACTTGAATAAGAGCAAGTTGCAGCATGACTCTTATGATGCACACACATCTCGCAATCACATATGACTGTAGATGCTACTTCCAAATTATGTGCAAGCTCCTCCTCAACATAAAGGCATGGGGCAACAGGTATATATTCATTTAAAATAAATCGCTTCAGAATAGCCTCACGTGCATCATTTGCAACAGTGTGATTTATTCCATGATAAAATATTGGAACCCTTATGCTTATACTATCTTCTCCATTGTCACACTGCAATGTTATAAGTCTGGCCATATTCCTGAAATATTAATATTGCTGGAATAAGAAGTAATCGCTTTAATTCTTTCATTCGGTGACACATATTTTAACTGCAGTTGTCTCCCCTACCTTCGACACTAACTCCAGACCCAAAAATAATAATCAAAGCAAATTGTACCCTAAGCTGACCAATCAATGATGCCACTGATGCCATGTTGTCATTAGGGATAATGATGCAGGTGAGCCTGAAATACAACTCCAAAATGTTACATAATGTTACAGCCAGCTGGTACTGCAATATCTCTCATGAGTAAAATTGGTACCGTCTGTAAACAGCCTCACTTTGTTGTAGGAATAAAAATTAAGTTGACCACTGTTGTTGTAATACAAACAAGAGACCCAAAATGACCTTAGGCATTCACTTGGATCATTGGAATTACCGTACCAGACCATGACAGAATCCAAACTTGAGCATTTTGCATATTTTAATACTCACAACCCAAGACTTTGAAGATACTTACCAGTTACCACAATCAAAATCTGTCACGGGAATTAGTACGAGCAATCTGAATAAGGTCTGCCCTGTGGTCGTATGATTATCTGGTTTTGAATCTGTAACATACAATAATGCATCAACACAAATAATAACAACCTTAAAACAAGTGGCCGGTACACTAAACTAAAACTCAAGTGTCCCAACCCGGAGTTAAACCCGTGACCCCCTGGTTCTTTAGTTGAGCGCTCTACCACAAGACTAAAACATCCAGACCAGTTAGTCTGGTCATTAATTCATCCTTTATTATTAAAAGATACAAATTAAAACACTGTAACTAGATCTACACTAATATTTTAATATCGTGAACATGACAAAATATTTGAGTGGTGAAAGAAAAATCCAATATTCAGCTTCATACTGAATAAATTAATTTTATTCCATTCAGACTCGGAGAAATATGGAGCCAATTNAAAACAATAACATGTACAAGTGTGTGCATTGGTTACCTCCCTTTTACTATTCCGTCTTTGCGTATTGCAGAGTTATCTTCTCTTGTGAGCAGGTATCGATTGTTACGTCATTGGTTTGTGTGAGAAAAGTACGTCGTTTTCTCAAAAATTGATGACGTTACTCTCAAAAACAAGTGACGTAACAATCAATACCTGCTCCCAAGAGAAGATAACTCTGCAATACGCAAAGACGGAATAGTAAAAGGGAGGTAACCAATGCACACACTTGTACATGTTATTGTTTTAAAATACTGTGCATCATTGTGCATCGTTATTTCTAAAAACAAATTTGATGTAAAATGTCTTCTTGGTCGTATCTATCATTATAAATATGCTAAGAAATGCTAACCTTTAAAATAAAACACTTATGGGAGATTTTGTTGTAAATTCGCCGAGGTGCTGCCGTCTGCTTCGAAACATGAACTTGACAAATTGCGTATAATTTTGTACATTGAAAGAGCTTTGACATTTCAAACACTTCTGCTGAATGAAGTCTGTATTCAAGTCTTTTAAAAATACATAATTTATCAGCTGACATTCTCTTGTAACCTTACCATTTCATAAAATATTCAGTCGTGCTGTCAAAGATTCCGGCCAAAAAAGTGTCATGGCGATTTGTCACAATTCCGGAAGTGTGAAAGTTATGGAAGTGTGAAAGTTATCTCCCTCGAAGCGACACCTGGCGATAACAGACGATTCTAACAGAACTTCAGGCTCCTATGGTTCTATACACTCATTAGACCTAGACGGTAGACCAACATAGTACATGTAGTACTCCTTAATCATAAGACATTTAATATGACCTTTTCTCGTAATTTATGAAAGAATCAGAATGATTTGTTAGTTATGACTTATGTTCAAAATTTGTTCGGAATCTGTTGGAGACTTACCCTGCTGTTCTCGCGTTTTAAGAAACCTGTCCTCAGTTTCTTGACCTTAGGTGATGTCCCTTTAAACAACCTCTTATGAATAACCATGGGTTCCAGGATGTTTATACTTTGCAAGTTGCATCCTGCGATGAAAGGCTATACAATGTGTTCAACATAATGACTTTGTTCGACTTTCAATCACAGGGGTGGAATGTTTTTTTAAAAAAAATAACGGAGTCTTTTGAACGAATTTTAATCATAAATACTGATATTTCGCCTGTGGCTTTATTTTAGATCACTTTTAAGGTTACAAGTGTGAGTTTTATACCAGGTGAGCGATGCAGGCCCATTGGGCCTCTTGTTTATTGTAAGTTCTGACAGCGACAACTAGTGAATAATATTAAGATGAACACCTGACACCGTTTATCTATTATGAGTAGGTTAATACACCTAAACATGGCATTCCTAGAATGAGATAGATATATAGCACTCCATCCATGGTACATACTGGCCAAATATCATGAACCTGGGCCTGATTGAACTTGGGAATATTGTTAAACTGGCCCTGTACTGAAGCCATATGAAGTAGTAAACTACCCAGATTAAAACGGCCCGTTCTAGGGCCACGCAATGTTAAAAAAAGGGTCATTGAATGTCTCGAAAAAACGCTTCCCCCAGCCAACACTATATACTGACCAAACATATTAAAGATAGTCTTTGAAAATTCCCTTGCAATGACGAGACTAATCGTATTAATATGTACTCCCTCCAATCTCAATACGTATATACATTTTACATTGTCCAGAAGGAATAGAAAGCAACCCCTTTCGTCTTTAATAATAAATAATTACATGATGAAATAAGTCATAAAACATTTAGGGTTACTTTTGAATTCTAAAGGTACATGGGGGGATCATATTCATGTTATATTTAGTAAAACTTGTATTAGACTCAACATATTGAGAATGCTTAAAAATAGAAAATCATTGGAAACGTTATTTTATTCTTATATAAGACCTGTGCTTTAGTATTATGATATTATGAGGAATGACTACCATTGGAGAATCTAATGTGCTTGAATCTGTTCAAATTGAAGCTATGAAAATTATATCGGGTGTAATAAGTGGGACAACTTTATGTAGCAACAGTGACCTTGGCCTGGGAACCCTGAAACACAACTATGTCCGAATTAGACAAATACTTGACCTTTGTATAAAGTTTGACCAAAATCTGTCAAAGAATGAAGTTGCAAAGTGTTTACATTGAATCAGGATGGGACGGGACGAACATGGGCAACAATATATGCACATGTGTGCTTTTCTACAATATTGAACAGGGAAATGCGTAATTCAGAGCAAGAAACATATTTTTGAAGGGTTCGGGATGCCTAATTTCGAGCGGACAGGACATGGCTGTTATTATACAATATTGGACAGGGAAATGTGTAATTCAGAGCGGACAGGACGGGACAGGGGGAAGTGCATACTTTCGAGCATCAATCCATTTACAGACTTTGGTGGCCCGAAAAAGGCCCGTTTTGTTTGCAAGTTCATAGTTTAACATTTGTTTCACGCTCTTAGTAAGTATTTGATAATAGTATACATATAGTCAAATTATGAAGTTTTCAATTATAGTTTTTGTATAATATAATTTAACATTCGTTTCACGCTCTTAGTAAGTATTTGATTGTAATATATATATCTTCAAATTAAAGTTTTCAATTAACTTTTTATAAGATTGTTTAACATTCGTGTTACGCTCTTAGTAAGTATTTAATTACAGTTTCGATTGTACATATAACCTATTGTTGTATTTCAAACACGAAAACAATGCAGCCTACTAAAATACACACGCATACACTATACGCACACATCTTGCACACAGGGGAGGCCTTCCTTAAATTACCTTACCTGTTAATAGGAGGTTAAACGAAATAACAAAAGTACAACGCATATGGTTTGAAAACAGATGATTGAAATATATCATTCTTTATGTGACCATAATAGTCGCTGCGTTTTTAGTGCTTTACTATATATTTTGTTTATATATACATATATTTATATTCTGTCGTTTATCGGGTGATAGACGTTTGTTCTTGGTTATTTAGCTAGTGATATATACCTTATCATGCCCAAGATGTATCCCTGCGGTATTTGTGCAAACTTCTTCAATGGTGCTAAAAATGTAGCTT